GTTCATTCCATCAAATTCTCCACAAGTGGGAGTATCTAGCCGGTTCTAGATTGTAATCAGCAGTGGAATTGTAACTATTGTAATTTTAATCTGCTTATGTATCGGATTGTTAATGTTCAGAATTGGCTTGACTTGTCATGTATCATGTACAGTGATCTGCAGTGACGAGGTGGATCAATCAATCAATCAATATTATATTGTCATATTATTATCTCTGTATTGCTATATTATTATTATTATCATGTATTATTATATTGTCATATTATTTCTGTATTATTATATACTTATTATTATTTAGTATTAGTATTAATATTAATCTTTGACTTGTCCCATATCATGTATAATGATCCATGGATGAAATAAAATTGAATTGAATTGAATTGAATGACATGTCTTATATCATGTATAATGATCCATGGACACGAAATAAATGAAATGAAATTTCCGCTGCTCCATTCAGTAACATGTGTTAACGCCAGGCTGATAACAGTTCTCGGAAATTTCGGTTTCGTTGTGGTTGCCAGTTTTCTTGGTTTGCCTTCGCACTTACAGTCACTGGCGGTCACCGGGCACCGGAGTACGAGAACGGATCGGTTTGTGGCAGAGAGATACGTCCTGGTACTTTTGGTATGCTTTCTTTGACCTCTGGACATGTTTACTCTCGTTTCTATGGTTATGGTGGTTACTGTCGTGTCGTTACCGGTCGTTACGGTAGCCGGAACGTATATCGGACCGTGCGGGACCGCCCCGTTTATAATGATTTAAATGTGACGTTAGGAGAGGTGGTCGTTTTGAATTATTTCATAGTGTACATTGTGCATTTCCATTGATTGTAATACCTAACTTCTTAAATAAGTGTTTTGTACAGTAAATATCATCATGGACGCACGTGCTGATGCATACAATTACAAATTTTACCATGAACAATTTATGCAGAACCTTAATGGAACAACAGCAACAGAAGTCCTGCTAGTGATATTTCCGGCTCCAATCGGAATATTTTTGTCGACTTCTCTGTGTGCTGTTTTGATGTATTTGGTAAATCAGAAGGTGTTCTCTCGGTGGAAGCTGGTTAGCTGGCTTCCATTGCTTGTGGATTATATAACTATAGTCGTACCTGTTGTACTGTGTGTTACAATATGTAATGACAGACATACTGTTGTTTCACTGATATTTCTCTCGGGTCTTTTTATTTTTGTTGTGTGCTGTGGTATTTTATGTAGACAGGTATGTTTGAGAGATAATGTAACCCCACTTTTCGCAACAGTGGTAATGCCAGATAAAAGACCTTACTTGACAAATTTTAGAGCAATGATGAATTTGATAACTGCCATATGTATTCTTGCAGTGGATTTTAAAGTGTTTCCCAGACGGTTCGCAAAGACAGAAACATTTGGCTATGGATTGATGGATAGTGGTGTAGGACTGTTTGTTATTTCTAATGCAGTTGTTACGCCACAAGCCTTGGATTATAAGGTTAAGTCACAGACTTTCACAGATGTCATGTGGAAAGCCATAAAAAAAAGTATTCCATTACTTATGTTAGGAAGTGCAAGATTTTTTGTAACACAACAAATTGATTACCAAATGCATGTTTCAGAATATGGTGTTCACTGGAATTTTTATATAACTTTAGCCATGACTAAAATTTTATGTACACTCATCATTCAGATTGTTGGTTCTAATTATTCAGTAATGATTCCAATTGTGGTCATTGGAATACATGAACTAATGCTTTCTTCTGGAGTCCAGGATTGGGTTCTAAGTAATGAAGCAAGACAAGACTATTTGACTTCAAATCGTGAAGGTATTACATCTTTGTTGGGGTATGTTGCACTGTATTTTGCAGGTATTAGTCTAGGTCAACAGCTGAGAAATTATAAGTCCATCATTCAAACTTATTTTTATTTAATAGGAAAACTTACCCTTATTTGTGTATTACTGTGGTTTACAACGTCACTGTGTGAAAACTGGTTTGGTGTTAGTCGTCGTTTGGCTAACATTGGATATGTACTCTGGATACTGGCTTTCAGTATAACTATGCTTGTGATCTTAATGTCAATTGAACTGTTGATTTTGACAATGAACATGGTTGTAAAAGCAAATATGAGAAACAAGCAGGATGGACATTTCCATTTCGTCATTAGTTATGTTCCACTGACTTTGGAAGCTATAAACTATAATGGACTTCTGTTTTTTCTCTTAGCCAACTTATTGACTGGTCTGATTAATATTTGTGTCCAGACTTTGACAGTTGGTGTGGCACAGAGTCTTTCCATAATTTGTGGGTATATTTTTGTGCTATGTAGTGTCACAGTTCTGTTGTATTCTAAGAAAATAAAACTTAAGGTTTGGTGAACATACAAGGTGTGGCAATAAAGAACCCGGATTACTTTTATGACTCATTTCCGGCCACGTCATTGACGAAGAGGAGGGTAGGGCATTGACCCTTGGACTTCCCTCTACCGTCACACAAAGTTTCATTCACGTGCATCGGTTAGTCTGGCCGCGACCATTGTTAGAAGCGGATCGTGTTTCTGAGCTCCGTCGGAATAATGCTGAGTGCTAATGCAGAACAACGTGCTAACATCAAATTCCTCACAAAACTTGGAAAATCTGCCACTGAAACTTACAATTTGTTGACAGAAGTATATGGTGATCAGTGTCTATCTCGCACGCAAGTTTTCGAGTGGTTTAAGAAGTTTATGGAGGGTAGGAAAAACGTCGGGAACGATCCAAAATCGGG